ATTTTTTTTCACAGCGCTAATTGCTTTCCAAAATTATCTTACTTATTTATATGTTTATTGTCTGTTTTCCCCAAAGTCAATACTCCCTGTCAGCTCTCCAAGGGCAGGAAGTTTGTCTTGCCTACCAGTGTATTCTTAATGACCTGCTCCTAATAAATACCAGGGGGGTGACTGATGGAAGGTGCCCTACATTCCGACAGCTATGATCAATTAGAAGTTTATACATAGATCTGAAGTCTGCTTCCCTGTACCTGACTCAGTGAGCTCTTGTCATGCCTGGCTTAAGTAAGATCTTCACAAGCAAAGAGGCCATGCAAACAGGCCACTTTCAGCAAATGACAGGCTATTTCTCGGTAAAAAGGAGACAATCTCCCCAGCACCAAAAAGTCCAGTGATTTCTACACACCTGTGCTGACTGTCCTTCGACTCAACCATAAACATTCACCTCAGATTCCTTAGCCCAGTCAGTACCTATAAAAGCCTAATTCCTTTCCCAGGTAGTTGCTAATGTCTCTCTCCTGGTGTTGGCCCATCCACTAACAGATGAAGTCTCTCCCAGGTAGCTGCCACCATCTCTCTCCCAATGTCAGCCCATCCTCACACGGATGCGATAAACTTGGCTTTTCCCAGATAGCTGCTCAAATCTATCCTTGATTTTAGTCCCCGATTTTAGTTTCTGTTTACTGGAATAAACTTTTCTTTTCCTCACAAAAGGCCTATTTAAACAAGTGGTTTCATATGACGGTGTATAACAGATCTGTACGTGGATTTTCATATTTCAAAGCTTAATGTAAAGTCTAGATTCCACAAAGGAGGCTGGCATGAGGGGAATAGAAAAGATGAGGAGAAAACCATGAAACCCACTTCACTTTCTCTCTGCTTGAACCCTTCTTGTGCCAAACACCCCAGCCCAGTGGGAAGAGAAGGGCTGTGGACTCAGGCAGACGAACCAGCCTTACCACTTGGAGGCTGTGTGAACCTGGAGAAGGCACCTAACATCTCTCAGCCTGTTTCCATACTACATCTAACGAAGCACAATTATTTGTAAATATATCCCATATGAAAACTCACAACTTGAAAAGGAGGAAAATGAACTTATTTTTAATAACACAATAATGCAGGCTGATCAGGAGGATCACATTGAGCCCAGTTTGGGCAACTTGGCAACTTAGTAAGACGCTGTCTCAAAATAATAATAATAATAATTATTACTATTAAAGGACTGAGGGGATATAGCCTGGTACAAAGGCATTGGATTCAATCTCTAGCAGCACAGGAGAAAAAAAAACACAGTAAAATACAGCATAAACTCATATGGTAGAGAAAGGACAAAAAACAATACATATAATGTGCCCCATATATGCTTAATAAATGGCAGCTTTTATTTTTAAAAAAATCAGTTCTCATAAGCTTCCCCAACAGATCTAGCATTGTGCTAGGCCCTCTGGAGTTTAAAACAATTCACTGTTCTCCAACTGAGTCTGTCAGATGTCAAAAGGGAAGAGTACTGAACCGGCTTGCTGTTGGAGAGGGAGGAGAGACACTAACAGGTTTTAAATTGACTTCTGGCCACAGTGAGCACAGCTATCAATCAAGGGCGAAGGTGACCAGCTTCCTAGCTCCCCAAGAGGGGATGGAGGGGAAACTCTTTGGGGACAGAGGTGCATGAAGTCCATGGAGGGGAACAAGAGCCAGAGAGACTGTTCAGTAACCTCACAATGGAAGTGTGCGGGGGATGGCCTTCTGAGCTGGGAGCACAGGCCTCACATTCTTAGGCACTCTGTCCCTCAGATCTGATGCTGAGCAGAGCACTAGATTTCACCTCTGGACTCACAGCAACCTTGCTAGTCATATAGAGAAAACATTCGCCTCCTTCTTACATAAACAAAAACAAAATTTAAAAATCCACAAACAACAATGGCCATGAGTCATTTGTCCTTATAAGTCTGTACGCCATGAAGTAGAGCCAGGTCCTTTGGAATCCTTCACGGTTCTTCCTCTATCTGTGAAGCTTCGAGTCCTTTAGGTATGCTTTTCCTCTCCATTCTCCTCCCTGCTTAAAAATGATCTTAAAGAGTGCAGCTTTTAGCTAAGCATCATGGCACAGGCCTGTAACCCCAGCCACTTGGGAACCTGAGGCAGGAGGATCTCAAGTTCAAGGCCAGCCTGGGAAAATTACTGAGATGTTGGTTTAAAAAAAAAAAAGTAAAAAAGGACTGGGGATGCAGCTCAGTGATAATAGAACATCCCTGGGTTTGATCTCCAGTACCAGTTTGATCTCCAAGAAAACTGCCATGCTTTTTAACTGATGTGTGAGACTCCATTGTTGATTTGCTGTGATGCCCTTTGCAGCCCTCTCGTGCTGGTTTTGATAGCAGGTTAAAGTAAGAGCCACCTTCCTGATCATTCAGGGACCATCCCCCTCCTAGCAAGCTTCCCCTGCCAGACTCCTAAAAGCACCTTCCCTCCATTCCCTTTATCCTGCACCATTTGGAAGAGCTGGGCTTGCACAGGTGGCTGCTGCATTCTCCACTGGGACAGCCCAAGGTTCTCAGGGCAGCAAAGCCTGCCTTGGAGATGCTTTGCATGAGGTTGACACGAAGTCAGAGCCCTCATGATCCAATCATCTTCCAGAGCCCTATCTTTGCACACTGCTGCATCAAGCTTTCCACACATGAGCCTTTAGGGGAGCATTTCATACCAAACCCCCACACAGGGAAACATCTTCCCTGGTACCTAACTGCCATCATGCCCGGGCCAGGAAGCAGTCAGGAAGCAGAGAAGCCCCATCCTGAGGAATAATAGTGACATCCATCCACCCACCCTAAGTTGGAGAGGGGAGGGATGGTCAAGTGACACTCTCTGCAGGGTGCAGGGCAGGGCATCAGAATTGGGATCTTGCTGGGGAGAAAGACAGATGTCAGAGTGAGGCAGGACAGTGTGGCCATAAGTATCAGAAACACCAGGGAGCAGGGTGCTGCAGCCAGGACAGATGCCAGGTCTGTTGAGGGGAAGGTGCCCACAAGATAGGAGCACTTGTCCAAAACACCGGTTCAGCTGCATGCAGTGGTACACAGCTGTAATTCCAACACCTGGGACAGGAGAATTGCTGTAGTTTGAGAACAGTCTGGGCTGCACAGCAAGACCCTGCCTCAAAAAAAAATTGTTGTTTCAGTTTTTTGCAGTCTTATTAGGGAGCGGCAGTAACAAGGGAAAGGTGCTGTTGTGTGACTTTGATGTCCTTTTCTGAATGCCCCTCGGCCAGGAGCAGCCAGAGGGGAGATGGCTGGGGTCTCCCAGCTGGAGGGAGAAAGGACACAGTGAGATAGCCCTCACTCCCCACAGCAGGACAGACACCGCTAAGGTTACCATGCTGTCTCACAGACAAGGCCTCCAAGGGCAGGTCCCTGAGGCTGAGGTTAAGGGGCTGATAACCCATACAGACATTAAAGGGGCAGAGGCAGGACGGCACCCAGTTCCTGGGACTCTGGCCCACGCCCAGCACCCACACAGGGAGGGCAGTGCCAGGAGGGGCAGGGCAGCTGGGCAGGAGCACAGAAACACCAAGGGCAGTGAGGGAAACAAATTAATGAGACTGGGAACCGTGTTAAAGTCACGCTGGGAAGTAGGGTGGGAGCAGAGCCTTTGCTAACTGCTGAAGTCACCCCAATGCCTCCTACAGCTGTTGGTCCCCTCCATCAGTTGGTTTGCCCTGTCCCTTCTTCAAAACTGCCCTTTACATTTGTCTACACAGCATTAACACGTCTGCTGAAGAGAAAGGGTGCTGCAGACCACTGCGACCATAGAAGGCGAGCATGGGGTGCGCGCCTGCCCCTCAGGGATGTGGCCAAGACATGAAATGCCCACCTGCCCAGGATCCCCAAGCTTGACCGCCCCGCGGGCGGGAACGCTCCGGCTCCCCCTGCAGTCCCAGCCCTGGTCTCTAGGTGGCACCAAAACTTCACACTGATCGCTCTGGGCTGGGCGCCTCAACCCGGTGGGAGGCTGTCTGGGCTAAATTCCCCCAGGTACAAAGGTGCTGCAGCTTTCCTAAAATGGAGGCTTATCGTCGCTACTTCCTTTCTGGCTTGGATTTTGCTACCATCCCTTCCTCAACTCCCAAGGGGAGAGGGAGGCCGGTCAGCCCAAGCCTGACGTCTCTGCCTCAGGGACAGCTCAAATCGAGTCCTGAAGTACTGCTGTAGGGGAAAATGATTTCAGTGAAAAAGCAGCGTCATAACCTTAAATTCATTTTCAAGCATACTCTTAAAAATTAACAAAAAAGCCTGTGCACGTGGTGGAAAACAACGGGCTTCTTTGTGATCCCCTCACCTATCACCCCTGTGCAACACGGCGGGCCCGGGCGGGCTGTAGCCCGGCACTCGCGCTCTCGGGCTGGGATCGGCTTCGGGCCGTGGCCGGTTACGGGACGAGCGCTTCTTCCATTCATTCTGCAAGCATTTACTGTGGGCAGCTGCTGGGGGCTCAGGAGACAGAGAAGAATTAGACGGGGTCCCTCTGGCTGAGCTCAAGTCCCAGCAGCAGAGCCGGAGAAACCCGCGCAGGGTCGAGGGCCGGTCAAGCCCGGGAAGAGAAGCCCGGCGGGATCCGTCGGGTGGCGGAGAGCAGTCTGCGGTCCAGAAAGCTCGCTCCGAGAACGGAGACAGCACAACCTAAATACACTTTCGGGCGCGACTGCTAGGGGAGGAAATTAACCCCTAGAGCCGCGCGGCCGTCCACAGGCTCCAGGGCCGAGAAGTGGGTGTAGCCCCCGCC